TTTTGGTAAAAACCTTATATTTTATGTTTGTTTCAACTCACAGACAAAACTTGATTTCTCTCTAAAAAGGGAAATATTAATCTCAATTATGTGTAGCAATTTATAATTTGCATGAAGTTCTGCTCCATGACAAAATATCTCTGGTCTCTGAGTGGGAGATCCAACAATGGGAAAGACACAATGGTGAAGAATATTCTTAGGAAAGATTTATAGAATTTTTAGTTAAGGATATTTCCCTTCACTCTTCTGGTTCCTGACTTAGCATTGCATGTATTAAATTATCAGTTTTGATAATTTAAATTAACTGCATCCAGTGTTTTATTTTTCAAAGCTACCGCTGCCATTATTTAACAACTAGGAGCCCAGTGCACAAATTTGTGCACCTTGAAAGGAACTGTGGGCTGCGAGGCTGTGGTAGGTACAGGGGCGGGTCTCAGCCCATCCTCTGCACCCCCGCCCAGCCCCTCCTGCCACAGCCCCCAGTCCTCTGTCTGCCTGACAGTCCCGCTCCCACCGCTGCTGCTCTTACTTGCTGGTGGCACCAGCAGTGGGTGTGAGTGGGGTGGGCACTGTCAGTGGGTGTGAGCAGCGGCTGCTGCCCAGATTGCCCCTCAGGAGTAGGGGGAGGTGGAGAAGCCCTCAGGGACAATCAGGGCTGGCAGTGGCTGCTCGCACCCGCTGATGGCACCAAGCGATTGGGACTGGCGCCAGGCACTGGCAGTGGGTGTGAGCAGCAGCTCCGGCACTGGCAGCAGGTGCAAGGGGGGCTGGTGCCAGCAGCAGGTGTGATTGCCAGGCAGGACCGTGGCGCATGGGAGTAAAGAATTTTCAGTAACCACCAGAGGCTCGCCCCAATGACAGCGACCAGAGCCTGCTTTGGTCTGGTGCCCCCACTCACCTGCTCCACTGTCCCTCTGGTGGCCAGGGCATGTCATAGCAACTGGTTGTTTGGTTGTTCCAGTTGTTCCGCCATTGCATATTAGCCTTTTATTATATAGGATTTTTACATATTATTATAAAACACCAAATAGGAGTTCAGAAGACTGCTCTTTACTTTCTTTGCTTTCTCCAAGCTTCTAAAATTCATAACCAGTCTTAGACTCCTTTGCTTGCCTGATATTGCTGCATTATAAAGAAAAGAGGCAATATAATTGAGGGCATAGACAGTAGAAGCATTTATAGAAAAATAGTAAATGCTTGAAGAATGTGAGTAAAGGATGGTAGATGTGGGTCAGCAGACTGATGGAGTGGAGAGTGCATGCTTATAAGATAGTTGCCTAAGTTATCATTCCAACTTCCATGTATCAGCCCTGCAACTAGCACATAAAATACATGGATATTCATCTTTTATTTCATTGCTGTTTGGGTTATGAGTTGTAAAACTTGATTGATATTCACTATATCTATCCTACCCTAGTTTATTATTGTAAAATATAGAGCCTATGAATGATGTTCTCTGGGTGCTATTTTGGCCAAAATTTACCTAGTAAATGTTGCGTGACTTTCTAGTTTAAAATATGCAGTGATTTGAATGAAATATATATTTTAGGTTCCAAGTGGCCCAAACATAGAGAGGGGGTCCAACAGACATGAATGCTATGATTAGTATGAAGTTTTTTTCTTATGCTAAGTTCCAACAAATAATGCAAAAAAAAGTTAGAAGTGGAAATGTAAAGAACCATACCACACAGCTAAGATGAGTAAGAGGATTAATAAGTGAGAGACTGTCATTTCTAAAGGGATTTTAAAGATTAGGAAATATAAAATTCTGATCATTAATTCAATAGATATTTATTTATGTCATACATGCTGAACACGCATCTAGTTTCTGATTTGCAGCAGGAACAAACTTGATTTCTTTTCTTAGGGGGCATACATTCCAGCAGAGGAGATGGAAAAGAAACTAATAAATAGGTGCATAATAAAATGTTATGCAGTGATAAGTGCTATGAGAATAAAAGCAAAATAAAGGGAAAAAGAGTGATGGAGGAGAAGGAAGGGTGAATTATATTGGATAGACTGTTCAAGGAAAACCTTAATGAGCAAGTCACACATAAACCAAAACCTAAATGATAGGAAGGAGTTAGCCCAATGAAGACCTGGCTGCAGAGATTTACCAGCAGGCATGCAAACAAGTTTGTGTTCATTGAGGAGCAGAAAGATGACCAGTATAGCTGGGAGTGAAGAAGGGAGACACTGGTAGAAGACGAAGTTACATAGAAAAGCAGGAGCAGATCCTATACCAGCAGTTCTCAACCTGTGGGTCGCGACCCCTTTGCGGAGTCGAACGACCCTTTCACAGGGGTCGCCTAAGACCATCGGAAAACACATATATAATTACATATTGTTTTTGAGATTAATCACTATGCTTTAATTATGTTCAATTTGTAGCAATGAAATTGGGGGTCACCACAGCATGAGGAACTGTATTAACTGCATTAGGAAGTTTGAGAACCACTGTCTATACAGACCATGTTAACACTTGCAGACTTTTTTCTAAATTATATGGGAAACAGATAATCAATCACTACTGTAAACCTGGATAACTCTATATAATCAATAAGATAACTGCCTGAGTAGGATTTTACTGATTAATCTATGTTAATAAAAATATGGGAACTTTTATAAAGACTAGGTTCCCTAAATTTTATTGTTCTCAAGCTTTGTTGAGAAATAATTGACGTATAATGTTTTGTAAATTTATGGTGTGCAAGTGATGATTTAATGCACATATATATTATGAAATGATTACCATGACAAGGTTAATTAATATATCTATCACCTCACATAACTATTGTAGTTTTGAGAATATTTAAATTTTATCATCTTAGCAACTTTCAAGCATATAATGCAGTACTATTAACTACAGTTACCATGTTGTATTAGATCCCCTGAACTTATACATCTTATAACCAGAAGTAAGTACCTTTTGACCAACATCTCCTCATTTCCCTCATTGCCCACCCCCTGGAAACTACTATTCTTTTGTTTTTATAAGATGACTTTATTTTTAGATTCTACATATAAATGAGATCATACAGTACTTACCTTTCTCTGTCTGACTTATTTTACTTAGCATAACACCCTCAAGGTCCATGCATGTTGTTGCAAATGACAGGATTTCCTTTCTTATGGCTGAATAATATTACATTTTCTTTAACCATTCATCCATTGATGGATACTTAGGCTGTTTCCATACCTTAGCTATTGTGAATAATGCTGCAATAAACATGGGAGTGCAGATGTCTCTTTGAGATCCTGTTTTCAATGTCCGTAACCCAGAAAAGGGATTACTAGATATCTGGTTGCTCAATATTTAAATTTTTGAGAAACTTCCATAGCGTTTTCCATAGTGGCTGCACCAATTTATATTCTCACCAACAGTCCCCAGTCCTCTGTCTGCCTGACAGTCCCGCTCCCACCGCTGCTGCTCTTACTTGCTGGTGGCACCAGCAGTGGGTGTGAGTGGGGTGGGCACTGTCAGTGGGTGTGAGCAGCGGCTGCTGCCCAGATTGCCCCTCAGGAGTAGGGGGAGGTGGAGAAGCCCTCAGGGACAATCAGGGCTGGCAGTGGCTGCTCGCACCCGCTGATGGCACCAAGCGATTGGGACTGGCGCCAGGCACTGGCAGTGGGTGTGAGCAGCAGCTCCGGCACTGGCAGCAGGTGCAAGGGGGGCTGGTGCCAGCAGCAGGTGTGATTGCCAGGCAGGACCGTGGCGCATGGGAGTAAAGAATTTTCAGTAACCACCAGAGGCTCGCCCCAATGACAGCGACCAGAGCCTGCTTTGGTCTGGTGCCCCCACTCACCTGCTCCACTGTCCCTCTGGTGGCCAGGGCATGTCATAGCAACTGGTTGTTTGGTTGTTCCAGTTGTTCCGCCATTGCATATTAGCCTTTTATTATATAGGATTTTTACATATTATTATAAAACACCAAATAGGAGTTCAGAAGACTGCTCTTTACTTTCTTTGCTTTCTCCAAGCTTCTAAAATTCATAACCAGTCTTAGACTCCTTTGCTTGCCTGATATTGCTGCATTATAAAGAAAAGAGGCAATATAATTGAGGGCATAGACAGTAGAAGCATTTATAGAAAAATAGTAAATGCTTGAAGAATGTGAGTAAAGGATGGTAGATGTGGGTCAGCAGACTGATGGAGTGGAGAGTGCATGCTTATAAGATAGTTGCCTAAGTTATCATTCCAACTTCCATGTATCAGCCCTGCAACTAGCACATAAAATACATGGATATTCATCTTTTATTTCATTGCTGTTTGGGTTATGAGTTGTAAAACTTGATTGATATTCACTATATCTATCCTACCCTAGTTTATTATTGTAAAATATAGAGCCTATGAATGATGTTCTCTGGGTGCTATTTTGGCCAAAATTTACCTAGTAAATGTTGCGTGACTTTCTAGTTTAAAATATGCAGTGATTTGAATGAAATATATATTTTAGGTTCCAAGTGGCCCAAACATAGAGAGGGGGTCCAACAGACATGAATGCTATGATTAGTATGAAGTTTTTTTCTTATGCTAAGTTCCAACAAATAATGCAAAAAAAAGTTAGAAGTGGAAATGTAAAGAACCATACCACACAGCTAAGATGAGTAAGAGGATTAATAAGTGAGAGACTGTCATTTCTAAAGGGATTTTAAAGATTAGGAAATATAAAATTCTGATCATTAATTCAATAGATATTTATTTATGTCATACATGCTGAACACGCATCTAGTTTCTGATTTGCAGCAGGAACAAACTTGATTTCTTTTCTTAGGGGGCATACATTCCAGCAGAGGAGATGGAAAAGAAACTAATAAATAGGTGCATAATAAAATGTTATGCAGTGATAAGTGCTATGAGAATAAAAGCAAAATAAAGGGAAAAAGAGTGATGGAGGAGAAGGAAGGGTGAATTATATTGGATAGACTGTTCAAGGAAAACCTTAATGAGCAAGTCACACATAAACCAAAACCTAAATGATAGGAAGGAGTTAGCCCAATGAAGACCTGGCTGCAGAGATTTACCAGCAGGCATGCAAACAAGTTTGTGTTCATTGAGGAGCAGAAAGATGACCAGTATAGCTGGGAGTGAAGAAGGGAGACACTGGTAGAAGACGAAGTTACATAGAAAAGCAGGAGCAGATCCTATACCAGCAGTTCTCAACCTGTGGGTCGCGACCCCTTTGCGGAGTCGAACGACCCTTTCACAGGGGTCGCCTAAGACCATCGGAAAACACATATATAATTACATATTGTTTTTGAGATTAATCACTATGCTTTAATTATGTTCAATTTGTAGCAATGAAATTGGGGGTCACCACAGCATGAGGAACTGTATTAACTGCATTAGGAAGTTTGAGAACCACTGTCTATACAGACCATGTTAACACTTGCAGACTTTTTTCTAAATTATATGGGAAACAGATAATCAATCACTACTGTAAACCTGGATAACTCTATATAATCAATAAGATAACTGCCTGAGTAGGATTTTACTGATTAATCTATGTTAATAAAAATATGGGAACTTTTATAAAGACTAGGTTCCCTAAATTTTATTGTTCTCAAGCTTTGTTGAGAAATAATTGACGTATAATGTTTTGTAAATTTATGGTGTGCAAGTGATGATTTAATGCACATATATATTATGAAATGATTACCATGACAAGGTTAATTAATATATCTATCACCTCACATAACTATTGTAGTTTTGAGAATATTTAAATTTTATCATCTTAGCAACTTTCAAGCATATAATGCAGTACTATTAACTACAGTTACCATGTTGTATTAGATCCCCTGAACTTATACATCTTATAACCAGAAGTAAGTACCTTTTGACCAACATCTCCTCATTTCCCTCATTGCCCACCCCCTGGAAACTACTATTCTTTTGTTTTTATAAGATGACTTTATTTTTAGATTCTACATATAAATGAGATCATACAGTACTTACCTTTCTCTGTCTGACTTATTTTACTTAGCATAACACCCTCAAGGTCCATGCATGTTGTTGCAAATGACAGGATTTCCTTTCTTATGGCTGAATAATATTACATTTTCTTTAACCATTCATCCATTGATGGATACTTAGGCTGTTTCCATACCTTAGCTATTGTGAATAATGCTGCAATAAACATGGGAGTGCAGATGTCTCTTTGAGATCCTGTTTTCAATGTCCGTAACCCAGAAAAGGGATTACTAGATATCTGGTTGCTCAATATTTAAATTTTTGAGAAACTTCCATAGCGTTTTCCATAGTGGCTGCACCAATTTATATTCTCACCAACAGTGTACAAATGTTACTTTTTCTCCACACTCTACCAATATTTGTTATCGCTTGTCTTTTTTTTTTTTGTAGCCATTCTAACAGGTGTGAGGTGATATTTCATTGCAGTCTTAGTTTGCATTTCCCTGATAATTAGTGATGTCAAGTAGCTTTTATGTACCTGTTGACTATTTGATATCTTCTTTGCGAAAATGTCTTTTTAGTTCCTCTGTCCATTTTTAAATTGGATTATTTGGTGGTATTTTTTTTTGTTTTTTGCTTTTGAGTTGTATAAGTTCCTTACATGTTTTAGATATTAACCCTTCATGAGGCATATTATTTGCAAAGATTTTGCCTCTTTATTTTGATTGCTGTGCAAAAGTCTTTTAGTTTGATGTAATATCACTGATTGACTTTTGCTTTTGTTGCCAGTGCTTTGGTGCTATGTTAAAAAAAAATGTTGTCAAGACTGATGTCATGGACATTTTTCCTTATGTTTTCTTTTAGGAGTTTTAAAGTTTCAGGTCTTCTATTTAAGTTTTTAAACTATTTTGGGTACATTTTGTGAGTGGTATAAAATAGAGGTCTAATTTTATTCTTTCATATGTGGCTGTTCAGTGTTCCCAACAACATTTATTGAAAAAAAAAACCCTATTATTTCCCTAATAATTTGAGTATTCTTGACTCCCTTGTCAAATATTAACAGTGCATACATGGGTTTATTTGTGGACTCTCAATTCTGTTCCATTAGTCTACAAATATAATAACACTTTTTTTCTCAAAGCCAAGGAATTAAACTTAAAAACAACTATTTACACCATCAATGTCTCTCTCAGTCTTTGCTCTCCCTGAGTCCTTATCTAAAGTGCTAGATATTATAATGCATTTTTTTTTGGCCTGGTACGGGCTCTATTTTGGCATCTAATGTTGGTTGATGTAATTGGAGAAGAAACACTGTGTAATGATTTACGGAGAGGGAAAAGAAAAGACACATGATGCTCATGAAAAAAATAATCATTATAAAGTGTTAAAATTTGGAAATTTTAGTATTGTTGCTCAGATAAGTCTGGCCATCTCACCTTCAAAAATGAGAGCTAGCATTTCTTATCTCTCAGAAGTTAATGCTAAAATCTTTCATGTAATTCCTGAATAGCTTTCAAAGGTGTTGAATTTGAAAGGTATAATTAAAACATTATTTTCTCTGTCTTTTTCTGCCATCTGTTAAGTTATAGGAAGAAAGAATTTTTTCTTTACCCAGTGAAAGTATTTGCTAGATCCTATCTAACAAAAGACAAAAAGGGTAATTAACCGTACCTCCGCTATGCATCCCATTGGCTAATCAGGGTGATATGCAAATTAACCACCAACAAAGATGGCGGTTAATTTGCATACGCAGGCTCCAAGTGGTGGAGCAAAGCCAAACAGCCCCAAAGCCGCCGAGCAGCAAGGCCTCACCGCCCCGGGATCAGCGGAGCCACGAGGCCTCCCAGCACCGGGATCAGGGGAGCCACGAGGCCTCACAGCCCCAGGAACAGCGGAGCCGCAAGGAATCCCAGCACTGGGATCAGCAGAGCCTTGAGGCCTCCTGGCACCGGGATCAGCAGAACCTCGAGGTCTCCCAGCACTGGCATCAGCGGAGCTGGGAGGCCTCCTGGTCCCTGGAATAGCGTGACAGGGGGCGGCGCCACAACCCCCTGATCGACCCTGCTCTGTGGGTGACAGGGGGCGGTGCCCCAACCCCCTGATCAGCCCTGCCCTGAGCATGTCAGGGGGCAGTGCCTCAACTCCCGGATTGGCCCTACTCTGTGTGTGTCAGGGGGTGGTGCTCCAACCCCCTGATCGGCCCTGCTGTGCTGACAGGGGGCAGCACCCCAAACCCCTGATCGGCCCTACTCTGTGCGTGACAGGGGGGAGCTCCCCAAACCCCTGATCGACCCTGCTCTGTGCGTGACAGGGGGCAGTGCCCCAACCCTCCAATTGGTCCTGTTCTGTGAGTGACAGGAGGCAGCACCCCAACCCGCCCCCCCATCAGCCCTGCCCTGAGGGTGACAGGGGGCAGCGCCCCAACCCCCTGATCGGCCGGCTCTGTGCGTGACAGGGGGCGGCACCACAACTCGCCAATCAGCCCTGCTCTGAGCCTGACCAGGAGCTGCGGGGCAGGCACCTAGGGATTGGGCCTGCCCTCTGCCACCCGGGAGCAGGCCTAAGTGAGCAGGTCGTTATCCCCCAAGGGGTCCCAGACTGTGAGAGGGCACAAGTGGGGCTGAGGGACACCCCCCCCCCCGCCAGTGCACAATTTTTTGTGTACCGGGCCTCTATTTTAAATATAAATTGTTCCTTTATGTATTAAAAATTCCCTCATACCTCTTTGAATCAAGGGATGCTGAGTTACTTTCAAACAAAAATTTAAACATTTTAGCTAAAAAAGTCAATGGAGAGATTCAATGCTATCATGAAAATGATAACAGAAAACAGAAAAAGTTTAAGTTTAGGTGGAAACTAGTGAGATAGTTCTGCTACAATTTACTATCATGCCTAATATGCATACATATTAGTATATCATTATTACTATTTTATGTCCTTCACTTTTCCACATTATGAATCTCTTCTGCTGGGATTTTCTTCTTTTCCCCAGTGATTTTGGGAAATTAGAAATATTAAAATGACTCAGATATACTGATTAACATTTTGTTTTTTCTGTTACCTACCAAAAATGACAGATTGAGATTCCTTTTCAAAAATGACTATTTTGCAGCCATTATTTATTTTGAAATATTCATTAATTTACAAAAAATTATTGAGTGTTAGGTAATTTTAAAGTTTCCTATTGAAGACATTATTGTAAGTAAAGTCCATTCCTTTCTGTTTTCTCCAACTTTCTGTCAGGGTCAAATATTTTGGCCAAATAATACTGCCATGGCATTTTAATTTTATTGGGAAAGCATAACTTTTAAGATAATTATGCCCTTTTGGAAAGGAGAGATTTATAAGAAACCTTATAGGTATCATGTTAGATATTTGACTCATCTACCTCCAGGACCAATGGACACTTTTTTACCCTATCCACAACTGTGGTGGTCAAATTGAAGTGAGAACTACCCAACTTCATACCAGCACAACCCAATACTCATCTCATCCTCAAACCACTTGCCTCTAAATTCATGCTCCAGGAATTTGCCAGGTGTGAGGTGCCATAAGACCTGATCTGTGGCTATGTATGCACAAACCATAGTGCAAGGAACTAAATGCCCCCTGGAGTAACATTATGCCAATTATAGACAGAAGCCAGTGCATGGATTCTTCTCCCTTTTTTGCCACACAGTCCTGTGATGCAATAGTTTATATGAATTTTCAAAAGATGATAGTAAAAGATTAAGCAATCTGTTGGGCTTGATACCCATCAGTGGGTATCCTATTATTCTTAATTAATATATCAACTGAGAATCACTCTTCTTTTTCTCCTACTTCATTTCCCTTTGCCCTCATCCCTACCACCATGAAATTGCATTTTCTAAAATTTTAATAACACATAACTTTTACATCAGACTTTACTTTCTGGGAGCCCAGGATAAGAAAGGGTATTGAAGCAAAAGCAATCAGACCTAATTTTTTTTAAGTGCTGCAATCTGACACAGACTCCTAATTTTCCTGTAAATTAGATGAGCATCTGTGGTAGTAATTAGGGCTGTTCATAAATATTCCAGATCTCATCATTCTCAGCACATGGTAGAATTGCACTTCCCAGTCTTCTTGAAATGTGAGCTGAACCTACATGTGTCTTTTTAAGACAGAAGCTTTAATAGCCGGTGCACGATTTTCCATATTTCCTTCCCCTGCCATACAGTTGAGATAAAATCTCTGGCACTATGATTCATGGCGACTTATTTTCACCAGCTTGGGAAATCACTAGTACAAGCTACTAGAACCATTTCCATATATGTCTTAAACAAAGAACATTGGAATATTATTGGCATCAGTGAATATTTTTTCAATTACTCTGAAATAGGTTTCTATATTGCTCTGTATTCTTTGACAAATTATTGACATTAAAACTTCCATTAAAAGTAAAACTCAAAATTAGATTTTTTTTGAACATGTCTTGATTTCCAATAGCAAGAAAACTTATGTGATAAAAACACATGTAATAAAAAACAATTTCTTCAGGAGACAAAATTGTCAGATAGATCTCATGAGCACATTCGGATGAGTAAAATCATATATCCTGGCAATGAAATGAATACAAAGCTCCCTTCTGTGGGAGAATTGGTCCCATTTAAAATCTTATAAAAGGCTCAAAGAATTTGTGTGAGATCTAATTTTTCATTTAGCAAAAACACTTGTTTTATCCTATGTTCATTAGTACTAGTATTTATTTTTGACCCACATACAAATAATAAAATCAAGACCTAATCTCCTTTGGCTTCCTCTGCCCTCCACTGTCATCTCCTTTTAGCCTCCAGGCAGTTTAAAAGCACAATACAACTTCCTTAAAAAAGTAGTAACAAATACCTGTTTGGTGCTTTCTGTGTTCTAGGCACTATGCTAACGACTCTTTAATACTTACAACCCTATGAGTTAGATATTAATGTTATCTCCATTTTCATCTTAAAGTTGCAGAAACTGAGGCTTAGAAATTTTGTCTCTTGTCCAAGGTCAAGAAATGAAACAGCCTAGTTTGAAGCTCAGGCAATGTTTTGTGAAACCATATCTATGGAATTTAACCCTTGGATTAAGTACTCAAGTGTTCCAAAGGAAAAGCCCGAGGGAGGAGAATGTGTGACCATTAAGAAACCTATTTCTGGGAATGCAAGCTAAATGCCTTAATGGCCAAACATATAAGTGGGAACCCTGGTGCAGGATAGTGGAAAGTAGTGTGGCTGTAATAAACTGAAGACAATATGTACTTTCTAACATCAGCCAAAAGAAACAGTTTTCAGCCAAAAGAAACAGTTTTCCATCTTGGCTTTTTGTCTTCCAAGAGTTGTCTTTTATTTCAATTAATACCCACATTGTTGTCGTTAAGTATGCCCAGTCCATTTAAAAGGGGAGAAGCACCAAATACCATAATTTTTCAGTGTTTTTTTAACAAAAAATGCACACACTTAATGTACATAATTTGATAATTTTGGACATATACATACACAGGTGGTACTATCATCAAAATCATGACCTCCAAATGTTTCCTTGTGTCCCTTTTTTGTCTGTGTGATAAGAACACTTAATATGATATCTATCCAAACAAAATTTTAGGTTCACAGCATTGTGTGGTAACTATAAGCACTATGTTGTACAGCAGACTTCTGAAACATACTCATCTTGTATAAATGTAACTTTATACTCATGGAAAAGCAACTCCCCATTTCTCCCTCCTCCCATCCCCTGGTAACTATCAATTTATTTTATACTTACTTGAGTTTTACTATTTTAGGTACCTCATTGAAGTAGAATCATGGAGTATTTGTCTTTTAGTTACTGGCCTATTTAACTTAGCATAATGTCTTCTAGATTCATCCATAGTATTGCTACTGGTAGTGTTCCCTCCCTTTGTAAGAATGAATAATATTGCATTGTATGTATATACCACATTTTATTTATTCATTTGTCTGTTGATGAACATTTGGTTTACTTCCTTGTCTTGGTTCTTGTGAATATTGCTGTAGTGAACATGGGAGTGTGGATTTCACTTCAAGATCCTTATTTCAATTGTTTTAAATATATACCCAGGAGTGGGATTGGTGGATCATATGGTAGTAGTATTTTTAAAATTTTGAGAAATTGTTTTCCATAGTGGTTGGGCAATTTTACATTCCC